CTAGAGCCCCTGACAGCCTCAAGACCCTCACCAGGCACCAGCTTTCTTGACACATAGTCAGTTTCTGATTACTGACAAGCTTTACTAGGACAACCTCAAACCAGACACACAACGGCAAGAGGATAGACTCCACAAGACCCCCCGGAGCACAGTCAGATCTCCCCAGATCAATTCTGGGTTATAAGGCAGTAGGGCTGAATCATAGAACCCTGGCCTGTATTGCCCACGGCTTGGGAAGGGAAGCAGCACAGACTGTCAAGGAAGCCCACATTGGTGGTGGTTTCACACTTTACTTACCCCGTGGAAACCAATGTCTGTGTCTAACAATGTGGAAATCAAAGGAAATGCAAGGGGATGGATGGAATAAGATGCAAAAGCAACATTGGCTGCTAAGTCCAAGAAGCATAGGCCAGCAGGGACCCACACATTAGTGATCTGGAAACCAAACCCCTCGGAAGTAGTGTTCACTGATGATAAAACACCATGGTTTGAACTGAGTGGAGCTTGCCTTATTCTTGCCTCAAAATATCTGTCCCCAGTGTACTCCAGACCTATTTAAAAAGAACTCAACAGAATGGGTTCTGGAGCCTGGGAAGAGGTCTATTAAAAAAATCACTCATTCATCTGTTCCCCAAAGCCTCATCCTCATTGTATCACATGGGAATGACCAGCATCACTAGTTTTCATTCTCGGCTACAGTATCAGAGAATAAGGTGCTGGTGTCTGTGAGCCTCAGTTCATGCCTCTTAGAAAGGTTTTTGAAAGGTCTGAGCTGTGTTTTTTTCCCCTGGAATAAAACAGTAGTTAAGCATATGCTATTTGAGATCCCTGAGATTAAATCTTGGCTCTGTTACTGACTAGCTGTGTGACCTTGGGCAAATGACTTCATCTCTCTGGGTTTCACTATTCTCATTCATAAAATAAAACTGGCCGTATACCTCTTAGTATTAACAGTACAATATATGTAAATTGCATTAAATTGCAATTTAGAAGCATAATGCATGTAAATTGCTTAGTTTTGTGCCTGACCACAAATATTTATCAAGCATCCATGATGCCCTGGATGCTAAGATTCAGAGTAGGAATAGGAAGATGAGTAAGGCACACTTCCTGTCCAAAAGAATTTATTAAGCTCTGTCTGGGGGTGTCAGATGATGTTAAGAGGCAGGAAGGGTGGTAGTTTCAAGTGCTTATTATGTTTGGAATTCTTTCAGGCACTTAGTGTGCATTAACCAAACCATAACAGCCCTAGGAGTAGGTACCACTCTGCTTAGCTGCTTTACAGTGACTTGCTGTGGAGACGCAGGTACAGGCCATCACACTCAGTACTGCATATGACAGACAGTCCGATGAATACTTCCCATAATCTTCCTCCCTCTTTTCCTTCTGAACTCTGGCTGCAGGTAGGGATATTGGGCTTAGACACTAATGCACCTTTTGCTCTTTGTTTATGGTGAGAGGCAAAGCAGAAAATCCATGCCAAATGCTTGGACAGTGCAGAGGTTTCTGCTAAACCCTCAGTTTCTACCTATGAAATGTGGATGTGTATCTACTACTGTGGAGAATACAAAGGGATGCTGTGTGGTAAATTTTCACACAGGGAGGGGTTGCCTCTGAGACATTCACAGAGTCTTCCCTGGCTTCTTAGATGACATAGACATTGCCAGGAAGAATGAGATGGCCTGCGTATACAAGGTATAAGAAGATGTGCTGAGCCCAAGGTCGTACTGAAATAGAGGGGCATTGGGAAGGAGGGGAGTACAGACTCTGTGGCCTTCAGGTCTGGACATCTACCTTCCTCCAATTCTAAATGCCCTTGACACAATACTTCATCTCCATTTAGGAGGATTCAATGCCACTTATGTTCAATGTGACTTTCTAGGTCAAAGCTGAAAATTTCCCGTCTCTGTAATAAAGGGAAGCTGATGCTGACCACTTGCTCTCTATTAAGGACCCCGAAGGCCAGCAATTGATTTTAAAAATAGTAGGAGTGAAGAGATGCATACTTATACCAAGGTACCCCATGTCAAGTCGCTGCTAGGAAGCTCCAGAGAACATGTCAACTATCTCAGTTTTGACATTTCCCACCCCTCTCTCCCATTTCGGTGCCTCAGTTTCCCAATCTATAAAATGGGAATGATAAGAGTATATTTCTCACTTCTCCAGTTTGGATGGGAAGTGAAGCAATTTGGGCAGATATACATGGCAGGTGTAGCAGGTGCTGCTGTGCTCAGCTGTGTCTCTGGGTCAACAATCACAACAGTAACATAATCCCTACCACCACTGTTGTTAGACCCTGGGACCCAGGTCTCCTCAGAAGTTGGCTGGGTTCTGGGTCATAGGTCTTAAAGCAAGAAACCAAGGCCCTGGGACAAGATGGTATCACCCTCACCTGGAGAGCAAATCCACAGAGATACAGTTGATTGCAGAATGGGGATGGAGGTCTGACTCACCTGCAATGGACCACTATGGGCCCGGCTTCTGGGGGATTGAGGAACTTGACCTGGCGAACGAAGCCCAGAAGGCCAGTGGCATAGCAGGGAACACCATGGTCAGGCCAGCTGGTGAAGTGGAAGAGGCGGAGCTCCCGGATTTCGTGGTAGCCTTTCTGAGGAGAGAATGGGCCTCCGTTCCTCCACCTGCTGCCCTCATGTACCCTCCCAGGTCCATGGGGAGAAAGTAGGGGATATGGTACTGAGGAACGGGCCTCTCTGCTGTGTGGGGAAACGAGGTACTCATGGGGTTAGTGGGTGTTAGCTCACAGGAACTCTGCCAGTTACTTCTGGAAAATGTGAAACCAGTAATTTCTTGAAGAACCTCTTAAAATTAATTAAGTTATCCAATCTTGGTCTCAACAATTCTCGCTCATATAAACCCTCCTCTTTCTCGCCAATTGGACTCCCGGAGCTTCACTCGGGGCCTAGCGGTAGATCTCTGCATCCAGTTCCCTCAGTCATTGGATGGGGTTTCTAGCACGACAATTAGGGTGTTTGGCCATCCTATCACCAGAGTAGATCAGTTTGGGTTGTCTCTCAACCATTGCCAAACAAATGGAAACACATGAACTATGAACCAATGGCTGAGGGGCCCCCAACTGGATCAGGCACTCTGAATGGGTGAGACAGTTGATTGACTTGATTTGTTTGGGAGGTATCCAGGCAGTGGGACCAGGTCCTGTGCTCAAAGCATGAGTTGGCTGTTTGAAACCTGGGGCTTATGCAGGGACGCTTGGCTCAGCCTGGGAGGAGGGGACTGG